CGCCGAGTGGCGTGCAGGCGCCGCCCCCGCGCGCCGCAGACCCGGCTGGAGCGTCTCCGCCGTGGCGGTGGAGGTGGCCGTTACCGTTGCCTCCGCGAGGCTCTGGCGGCGGCTGGTGCTCCCCGGGCTCGCAGCGGGCAGCGGGCCGCCCCTCGCCCGTGGCCGCCTCGAGCCGTCCCAGCTGGGACTGGGAGGCGAGGTCGTGCTCGGCCCTCCTCTTTGCCTCCAGCCCCCGGCGACTGCGGACTCCGGGCAGCCCCCGGGCGGCGGCCGAGGCAGCAGAGCTGACGGCGGGGGATGGCGAGATAGCGGCGCGTGAGCGGCCCGTGAGTACCGGGGTCGGTGGGCGCGGCGCGGGGAGCCGAGCCGCGGAGCCTGGAGCCCAGTTCCATGGGCGCGTCGCCGCGAGCGCCTGGCGGCCCGGGCAGGGTGAGGGGCAGCGCTCCGGCCGGCTCCGGTCCCAGGGTCTGGGCAGCGTCCGAGACGAGGGACCGGGGTGGGGGGGAGGGGGCGAGGCGCTCCGCGTCGTGCCGCTCTGCGCGCGCCCTTGGACCGCGCTTGGGTCCCGGAGGGCGCCGACCCTGCGGCTGCCAACTTCTGCCCCGCGGTGGGCTGTAAATTCAAAGACCAGAGTCTACCTGGGGGATGGAAAGCAGCTTTAATTTTTATTTTCCTTTGGCGATGTGATCAATCAAATGAGTTCGTGACCCAGTGCCGCAACTCTTCCTTAAACTAGTTCTTCGTCCCTTCTGTATTTACAGTGTACTCTTTGATTTACCTGTATTTTTTATATGCTCATATCCCGAGGTGCTATACTGATTAAACGCAAAGTTAAAGTGTTGGCGATCACGGTTAGCCTTCATGAAAAAAAACCATGCCTCTTCTGATGTGTTGTCTAAAAGGACAGAGCTGGAATCATAAGTTCTGACCGATAGAAAACTGCACATCAGGTGTTGTGAATTTACATCTGGGCTTAAAAAATGGGATCCTGGTCCTCACCTTCGGTTACCAAAAATACATGAGGTCTTATTTGAAGTTGGGTATCTTTGTGTTCCTTTTTTGTATGGGTGTGTTTCATAGTCAAATATTGATACAACGTGTACTGTTATGAGTGGCAATCGTATGGAAATGATTTTTTTTCATTTCTTTTTGTGTTCTTTTAAGATACGTTCAACAGGAAAGTTTCAGTTTAAAGTTTGCTTATTTGTTCGTTTTCCTTTTCAGATTTGTCTTTTAAATCTTAAAAAAAAATGCTTGGAGTAAAATTAATGTCACTTAGTATCAGTTAGGGGTACGAAAATGATTCCTAATACAGTTAAAGCAAACTCCCCTCCCCCACAAATGAAAACACCTTAATAAGCCTTTGTTTAGTGCAATTGATGCTTGCCCCTCCCCTCAATGATTATTTTGCCACAGTTCTGAAATTTCACTAATATCAGAGGGTTCCTTGTCAGAGCTTGGCAGAGGAATGGAAACCTAAGTATAGTGTGTTTTTAAAAGCAGGAGACAATCCTCTTACTTGTTTCTTACTTCGACTTTGTTTTATGGCCAGGTGGAAACTGTGTTGGTTTGGAGGCTTCATTAGGTAGTTACACGCTCAATTTAAATATGAGGTATGTTTTTTAGGTGAAGCGAGCAGCTTTTTCCCTTCCAAGAATTGAATTGAGGCTTATTTGCTTTGTAATAGGTGAGATCACAAGCGCACCTCTCTAATTAGTGGAGACTTGGATTCTCTTCTGGGAATTAAGGATCGGGAACTATGCCATCAAAGAGAAGAAACTTTTGTGATTTTTGAAAGCGTTTGCTTTTTTATGGTTATCCTTGAATAATATGTTGGTAATAATATAAAATATTCTAATATTAAAATGTATCTTATTAATTTGTGGGACAGGCAATTTATGTACAGTTAGAAGATTTAGTAGATATCAAAAGCTATAGAATGGAAAGTATACCTCTCAGCTCCCCATGCCCCATAGCAGCACCCTGTTCTCCCCAGGAACTGGGGTTACTGGCTCCTTGTATGTATCTTTCCAGATAAGCCTATGCTAGTATAAACATTTAGTATGTGTTCTTTTTGTTTGTCTTTCTGCAAATAAGGACACATTGTATACTCTGTTCTGCACCAGCTTCCCACCCTCCCTGTAGAGTACTAAATCTTGGCAGTCTCTGTATCAGTACCTAAGAGAGCTGTCTCATTCCCTAACAGCTGCTGAGCACTCCATTAAGGATAAACCAAAATTGATTTAACCTCTTCTTTATTGAGACCTGTGTAGGTTGTTTCTGTTTTGCTATAAAATTGTACAGCATTAGTTTTTGAGGTTTTTAAGTGGATTTCAATTATTCCCGAAGGCCCAGAGGCAATAAGTAACTTACTTCTTTGCATCCCATTCCAGGAAATAAATGCCCCTTCTCTCCTGTGTACATCTTTTGCTTGTATGTAATTTTAGAGTTATCCATAAGACTCTTTGGTGTCTTTGTGTTGAAGCATGAGCCGTGATGGCCAGTAACTAAAATTGTATTCCTTGATTAACACCTTAGCTCTTTGTTTCAACCCAAGGAATAAAAGAACAGATACAAATTTTTAAGGATAAACTGTAAGAAAAATTCTCAAGAGTTTAAATATGTGTTTAAACATGGTGAAAGGCTTGTATCTTTGATTAAATTGAAGACAGAGGTGGTTTGTGTTTTAAAAAACTTGTTTGCTAGTAGGTACTAAAGTCCCTGCCTTCTTTAGATTGTCACCAATATCTCATATTTTAATGTTGCTGTAATATAACTACAAACTGTACAGTTTGGGAGGTTATTAATAAGTTCTAAGGGGGACTATGCTTTCAGAAAATATTTGGCTCTTTTATTTTAAATGAAAATTGAGTGCTTTCAGAATAGAATAAATGGTATAAGTAATGCGAATGCTAAAACAGCCTGATACATTATAAAACATTATAAAATTTGAGTATAGCCAATGTTGAGCTTTATATTTCCATTAGGTTTATTTTTGAAAATGTGTTTAAGACTAGTGTAAGCTATAATGATCTTTTTGTTTAACTGATCAAACAAATCTTTTAGCATTTAAAGTGTTCTCTTTTTCCTTTATTATTTGGTACCTGTCGTTGTGATAGAAAACTGCTAATATTGCCTATATTTGCTCTTCTTAAATAAGAATTTATTGAGCATCTGTTGTATTTCAGGCAGCTTCTAGGAACCAAGAATACAGCTGTGCGCAGGACAGACAGGCCCCACTGTGAGTCCACATTTTAGTGGAGGAGTCAGACAAAAAGCAGAGAAGCAATAAAGGAGATAATATCAGATAGTGATAAGTACTGGTAAAGCAATAAAAGAGGGTGGCTGTGGGAAGAGGGGGGTAGGGAGAGGTGCTGCTGTTTTAGGTTGAGTGGCCCTAGAAGCCTCTCCAAGGTGGAGAGATGTGAGTTGAGAGCTGAAGGACAGGAAAAAGCCTTTGTTTCTGGAGACTTGGAGGGAGAGTGGCTCAGGCAGAGGGAACAGCATGCGCAAAGGCCCTGGAGTGGGGCTGAGCCTCACCTGCCAGAGGAACAGAGGGCTGCCTGTGTGGCAGAGCTCATGGTGAAGGGGAAAGGGGGTGAGTGGCAGGTGGGAGGGAAGGAGCAGGCTCTGGGACCCGTCCCTGTGTATTTGCACGAGACAAGGAATGTTTACAGGAGTGGAGGAGAGACCTTGGATGGTGGAGCTCCTCCACCTGCTGGAAGCCCCGTGGAGCAGGCACACATCTGCCTGTTCCTCATCGCTTTCCCAGCACCAGGAACAGCCTCAGCCACAATGGGCTGTGAGTACTTGTTGAATTAATGAATAATCAAAGTTGAAAAAATAATCTTGCCTCATTTGGGTCAAAATGCTTGGTTTCAGAAGTCTTTTATCTGTGCTTTCCATCTTGGCTCCGGCCCCTGACATTACCAAATCTGTTATACTGTTTGTGCAGCCTCTAAATGATTGCTGTAAGTCAGCTGCATTTGATTGCTATTGCATGAAATGAAAGTATGAAGCCTTCAAGACATACCTGATTTTCCAGGACGTGATAATGTTTTTGAATCATTTAGTCAGAAGTTTCATCTTTGATTTCAGTGGATTGGCTGTTTGCTTAAGTGTGAAATTTTCCAAAATGCCTTTTTTTTTTTTTTTTTTTTTTTTTTTTTTTTGTATACTGACTGTCTTAATTCTTTTGGGCCAATGAGAGACTAATGGACACATATATAGACTTTATGCAGGTACTTTTTTTCCCTCACAGGAAGAATGTGTGCATGTTCTATTTTGAGGAGTATCAGGAACCGTGGTATTTCCTCTTCCCAACTTCTAATCTGTTTGTCATTCTAAATATATGTTCCTTTATGTTAATTGAAAGCTCAGGAAATGAGTTTTGTGCCAAACAATTGTTATAAACATCTCATAGAAATCTGATGTCTTCATCTTGACTGTGACTTTTGGGGTTCCTGTTCAACATCAGGAGTGCTGTGATCTTGCAGAATGAGGGTTTTTAATTATTTCATTTCCGATTCAAATTGGTTGATACCAGAACCCAATAAGTTTCCATGTAAGTTAATTTTGTCTTCCAACCTTCTCTCAGAAGCTCTGTGCAAACACTGTGTAAAGAATGGATCCTGTGTCCCCTAAATCTTAAGCAAAGTCACTGTCATTGCAATGAAGGCCCTTCAGGCAAATTGCAGAAGCACGGAAGCGTCTGCTTTACATGGAGCTGGTTGTGGTAAATCTAGAGACTTAGACGTTTGAGTTGAAGCACTTTTACTACTTCCTTCACATTTCCTTTGTGAACTGTAGACATGTAGGAATTCCAAATTTGTCCCCCATTGTCTGTAACTCCAATGCATACCTTCTCCCCAAGCTGCTGCTGCTGTTCCTGTGAGCAAAGGTTGTGTTTTATGTTTTGTGTTGGAAATTAAGGAAAAACCTCTGGTGGGTGAATTTGCCATGTACTTTTGCACAGAGGTGAGAAACCCGTGCCTCTTACCCTTCCTCTGGTTTGCAGGGCACGTACGGAGGAAGACTTGGAGTGGTCTGTCCCTATAGATAAGAATATGTGTACTGTTAAGTGGCTGTGTCCTGAAAGACCACAAGGAGGAGATACTACCTACTGAAAGTGTGTGTGTGGCTCTTTCCTGGGGTGGCGGGTGGGGGGCGCCTGGGATACTGAGGCCCCGTGCTATGCTGTCCTCTAATTCCTGTCAGAAGCAGGCTTGTCCAAGGAGACCCTGGATCTGAGGAGAGCAGAAATGGTGGTGGCAGGAACAGCAAGTGGAAAATAACAAGTGGTGGCAGAAGTAGTTAGTGCCTCCTT